GGAAGAGAGGAGAGGGAGGTGGGACGTTGCCCTATCCAGGCTGCAGGGCATCTGCCTGGCCCGCCAGCACCCTCCTTACAACCACCCCAGCCTGTGCGCAGAGCCTGCCTCCCATACATAACTCGTTTCTCTTCTGCGTCGTCCTGGCAGGCTCCCGGCATCCCGCTCAACATCCGCGACCCGGCGGCGTACTACCGCGCCGGCGCGCCGGCGGTCGACGGGGCCGCCACTCCGGAGTCCGAGCCCATGAGCACCCTGCGCGATCCCGGCGACCACACCCCCACCCCGCTGTCGGCCGTGCTACGGTCCATTGACCCCACCGCGCTCCCCCTCTGCCCCTGCGACCCCGCGCTCGCCCGCGCTGTGCTGGAGGAGCTGTCCGCCGGCACCGACGCGGGGCTGGCGGCGCGCTTCGGCGCACTGGCGGCGGGTGTGCACGGCGTGCGCGCCGACGCGGCGCTGCCCCCCGGCCTGCTGGGCCTGCTGCGCGACGAGGCCCTGCGCACCGACGAGCTGCTGCGCCACTTCTGGGGCGCGCTGCCCTGGGCCGCGCCGGCGGCGGGGGCGGCCGCGGAGGCGGAGCGCGCGGCGCGCGAGGCGCGTGCCGGGCGGCTGGTCGGCGCGCTGGAGGCGCAGCGGGCGCGGCTGCGGGCGCACGCGGCCGTCGCGCCGGGGACGATCGAGCACGTGTACGCGGGGGTGCTGCTCCAGCCGTGCGAGGAGGGCATCCAGGCCGCCGTGGCGCGGCACAAGGAAGAGGTGGCTGCCTCCATTGTCCTGGGGAAGGCGGTGCGGGCATAGAGCGGAGGACCCTGGCCATGGATGGCTGCCCCCTTGGTGGTTACTGCTCAGTCCGACAATGGGTGGGTCAACACGGACGCCGTGTCGATCGGTAATAAGCATCGCGATCATGATGTAAGGGATAGTCACGGTATCGATCGCCAATCAGGAGCCCGCGCCATTGCAGGACCAAGACGGCACGGCCTGCGCCCCCCCGATGTACATTGAACTTCGAGACTCCAAATCATATACAGTGAGATTGGGCTGACATTCAACAACGGCTTAGCAGATGCGGACCAGACCCGGGTTCGATTCCCGGATTGCGCAGTCAATCCCATGACTACCCTCCCAACCAGCGCAGTTGGTTTAGTGGTAGAATAGGTCCCTGCCATCCTAACTTTTAGTTTTTTCCAATTTCGACCATCGCCTGAACGTTGAGTGATGCCGCTGGAAGATCCAGCACATTGCACGGGGGCCACTTATGTTACTCACGTGTTGATCACTCCTGGCCCGTCACACCAACCCTCCCCCTCCCTCCCATGCTCTTCGCTATCATGCCCAGGCTCTGTGCGTTGTATTACGGGCAATCCAAGGCTCCCTCAGCCCCCCCTCTTGGCCAGGGAGCGGTGGATCTGCTCAAAGTAGGCACCGGACAGCATGCTGCGATACTTGTTGAAGACGTCCACCTTCTGCTCGGACGGCTCTGCAGGCTCCGCGGTGCCGTAGCCCAGCCCCTGGGCCCCGCCGCTGCCGCGGGAGCCCCGGGGGCCCGACCCGTCGTCAAAGGGCTCCACCGTGGTCCGGTGCACCCTTTCCTCTGTCCCTCGGTCCACAAAGGTCCGCCGCCGGGGCGGCTCCGTCTCCAGGTCCACAAATTGCATGCTGGGCCGGTAATCCTGCAGGACATGGGCAGATGGGGGGTTTGGTGATGGCGAGGTGCAGCGGCTTGGGGGCCAGAACACTGAGGGGCGTCTGTCTCTGGGGTGCTGAACCATCGCTCACAGAGGTCTCTGATGCAAGCGGGAGCCCGTCTACAGCCTCAGCCAGGAGGTTGTCTGTGATTCAACATGGCCATCCTACAGCCTGGCGCGGGTGCGCCCTGTGCCTCGACCACATAATTGACCACCACTCTTGTACTCACCGCAATCTGGGCGTAGAACTTGTCCAGGCGGGCGGACAGGTACACATCCACCTGGGGCGGCGGCGGCACCCCGGCCTCGCTGACCGCCCGGATGGTGAGCGGGGAGTAGGGCGGGTCAACCTTCAGGCTCTCCTCCACCAGTTTGGGTATCAAGCCTGCATGGTTCCGATGGGGGAAGAGTCCGGGCACAGCATACGACGAGTCGAGGATCTGGAGGCTTTCCAGTGCCTCTTGGCTTGGTGGCCCAGACAAAACCAAGTTGAACTCCAAGACAGCTGTGGGCTGCACCAGCATCCCAACAGACCGTCGGGTAGAGAACAACCAGCAGCGGAGTACATGGGAGCCATGCGCCCAAGCAAAGTACATTTGGATGCTTGAATGACCCCACACAAAAACCCTGACTTCCTGCACGTGGGCTGACCTGGCGGGAAGGACATGGGGTCAAACCCAGGCGGCTCCGGCTCCGCCAGCGGCGCCGCCTGCACCTGCGGAGGAACATGCGCTGCAGGGGCCGCCCCGGCGTGGCCCCAGGGCACGATGGGGTGATGCGCCGGGGCCGCCGCCTCTGCTGCCCACATGGGCGGGGGGTGGGCGCCCAGATACCCAGGCGCCGGTGGCTGTGCGGCCATTGGCGGCAGCCCTGGTGGGACCGGTGGGCGGTTGGCCCAGGGCACGGTGGGCTGCGGGGCGGAGCCGGCAGGGGCGGGTGCGGCGGCCGGGGAGGGCGCTGCGGCGGCCGGGCCCGGCTCGGGTACCAACCCCAGCAGCTCCATGGTCATCCTTTCTATCGTGGCCTGGCTGTAGATGCGCTTCTCAGCCCAGTGGTTGACCATCTTGAGCAGGGGGGCCTGGGCCTGTGCATTGAGTGTGAGTGGCTGGAAGAAGCGTGAGTGACCTCAATGCCATTAAAGGCCAGGGAACAACTCAGATCTAAGAACCTTCGAGAAGTCACACCGGCAGGATGGCCAGGCTATGCTCCAAGGATTCCAGCGGGCGTCCACCCACACCTCACGCTGCTCTTGATTTTGCAAGCGCTGACACCCCACCTCAAACCCCACCCCGCGAGGGTTGGAGGACCACCCACCTCGTCTGTCTGGCCGCCTGCCAGGAAGGCATGCCGTAGCATGGTGCCCAGCCGGGGACAAAAGGCCTCGGCGACGGCGTCGGCCTCGGGCGTGGAGCCGGTGGGGCGGGAGGGCAGCGCCTTGAACAGGACGTCGTTCGCGAGGTACAGGAGGTGCAGCTGCTTGGCAGCTTCCTGTGTGGCCTTGGATGCCTGCGCACTTGTTGTGGCATGCATGGAGGCATTGAGCGCGGGGCAAATCATTTTGTGCAACCCAGCATACCAGCGGCCGCCCTTGCATCTGCAGACATACCCTTGGCTCGGCGCGAGCCGGTCGGGGTCTCCAGAATCATCAGCCCCCCAACCCCACCATACCCCACCTGCAGCATCATCTCCGCCATGCCCTGGGCGTGCTGCCGGCACGCCATGAACCACTCCTGGCTGGCACGGATGGAGGTATGCGACCCGGAGAGCGCAGCCAGGACCTGCGCCCATCCTGATGCCACCTCCGGGGGCAGGGCGGGGCTGGCACTGCTAGATACAGCGCCCACAGCGCCAGGCTGAGGCGCTGCAGGAGCTGCCGGTGCTGCATGCTGACCGGCAGCAAGGGGCTGATCGGCCGGGAGGTGGTTGACGGCCGCAAAGAGTCGCCAGGTGAAAAATGCCGCTCCGTCACCACCAGTCAGGAAGCCGTACTCTGGGTTGCCAGCCTGCTTCTGACGAGCCAGGTCCACAAAGCTTGGACCTTATAGGGAGATTTGTTGGGGTACAGGGGATGAAGCCGTAGGACGAGGCTGAAGTCCTGGGAAAGGGCTCCAGGTGTGCTCTCGCAGGGATGCATGCTGGCACGGTGGCTCCAGTCTCGTCAGTGTCGACCGTAGTCTCTTACGACAATGTAACGATTGCATATCATCCCAAACCCACCATTTCTGACTGCAAATTCGACGAGCTTGACTATTCGTTGAGCGAGGGCGGGATCGGGTGGAGGGTGGGCAAAAGGTGGGGGTGGCTCCCACGGAGAGAAGAATGTGCTCGGCTGCGGTGTCGATGACATGTTCAGGTCCTTGTTAAGAGGTCCTAGATCACCGCTGGGTCGATGAGGGCTTGATTGTATGCCGGCATCAATGTTCTTCCATGCCAGGCTGTGGGCATAAGCTGGCAAGGGCTAAATGATCCGACGAGCGTCTAGCGGTGAGTGAGATAGATATGGAACACCTTGCGATGAATCATGTATACAACTGCAGCGGGGTTTCAGACGCGGATTGATAAATGATAAGCATGCCAGAGCCATGCAGGCTCGTGCCATGGGTGTCTCGCGGTCCATCGCGCCCATTCTCTTGTACCCTGCAAGGCTTTGATATCGCCAGCCCAGGCTGTGCTGGACTTTCCCCCAACTTCTCTGCTCTAACTGATGCTCCGCACGAGAGCGTGCAGTCTCGCACCCACAAATTTGCATGGTATCACAAGGGCCCTCATGCCACAGTGATCTCCTTCTGCACGTCACCCTGGAGTTCCACGGAACCCTGATGCAGGGAGGTGGCAGAGGCGCCGCGTGTGGGCCCCCGCGGCAGACCTGCCTCCTCTGCCAGTCCAAGCCTCTCCTCCAGGGCCCGCTGTCCTCTCTCCCTGGGGATAATGGGGCCCAGGGATGAGGCAAGTTGGATTGCATGGCCAGCTCCAGTCGGCATGCGCAGCCGTTGCCCTCCCGTCACCGCACCGGCACTGCGTTTGCTCTGCCGCACACTTGCCACAAAATTCCTTCCATCCTTTCCCACCCCCCTCCTCCCTCGCACCTTCGTCGTGCGGCGTCGGCCGCTCCCGTGCCCGGCAGCACCGCCCCTCCCAAGCCGAGTCCTGACCCCACACTCGGCACGCTGCGCTCCGCAGCACGCAGGCCGGTCAGGCGCGAGCAGAGGACCGCGAGCTGCTCAGCCAGGGGCGCAACAGGCTCGGGGAAGAAGGAGGCGAACGAGAAGTCGGCGCCCGGCGTGCCGCGGCCCGAGCCGGCCTGGGGCTGCACAAAGCGCAGGTAGGCCCAGGAGGCGAGGGTGCCGCCGACGACAAAGGGCAGCGTGCGCAGCGTGCGCCCCGTCAGCACGCCGAACACCGCGGCCACCAGCACGAACAGGCTCGGCAGATACTGCGGGGAGGGTGGCGGGTGGGGCCAGGGTGGCATGCCCGGGACGTAGCCTCAGCTTGGCGGCCCAACAGGCACCGGCATTGCTTGTTTCCGGTGAGAGGTAGGACTGGTAGGGGCTTGCCCCTTGGCTTCCGTACCCTCAACCTCCAACAATGCCAAGGCCTCCCAGGGCTTGTTTGCCCTGACGGAGGTGTCACACCCCCGGTCCCAAGCACATCCCCCGCCGGAGCGCACCACCCCAGCGCGACACGTCGCAGAATGCGACAAACGGACCTTGAAGCGGAAGGAGAAGTGGGAGAAGAGCGTGACCTCATTCTCCGGGACCACCTGCTTGAGGGCCACCAGCAGCGCGGCCGTTGCGCCGTGGAAGCCGAGGATGGGGTCGTACAGGGCGTCCCCCGCCCGCGCGGCGGCCGTGCTGGAGGTGGACACCGCCACGGCAAAGGTGGCTGTGACCCAGACCCAGGCACACAGGCTGGCGCCGACCAAGGCGCTGCACAGGGTCACGAGGGTCTCCCGCCCGCCCAGCTGGCCCTCGACGGCTCGGCCGAGCACGGCAGCCGCGGCGAGGCTCGTCAGGAGCTGGTGGCATGGAGAAATGGAGTGGTGACCAGAATTAGGGATGGGATAGAGGGGAGGGGGTGGAACCAGGCGTCCTTTGCACGCATCCTTGAGCACCTGCCGATGATATCCACCCACCCCGCCTTGCCTCTATGCTGGAGTCGACCAGGAGACCGGACGTGACGATGGTCCAGGGAGACACCAAGAAGCGTCCCACCACAAGGCCCAGGTGCGTTTTGGCGGCTGGGAAGATGAGCTGTATGAGGTAGCCGGATATCAGGGTGCCGATCAAGCCCCGAGTGACAGGGGGGACCGAGCCTGCCGCAGCTTCCAGCCGCGCCCGCATGCTGTCAGCTCTGGACGGTCAATTGGTTGCCCGGTAATCACGGTCGAAGCCTCAAAACGGTAGCCTTGCGGGGGCTTCCGAGGCGCGATCGATGGTGAACGCCCCTTTCGAATCCTGACGATACTTTTCCAGAGGGTCCAGCGGAGAAGTCTCCGAGATCGCGCCTTGCCTGCTGGATGTAGGCAGATCAGGTCCTTCACATGCGTCGAAGCTTGTGATCAGCGGATGGACAGGTTTGGAGACGGTGCTTCGTATCATGTCGGCCCCCTTCCGAGAGAGCCCCTGGCGACCAAATCGCGCGCGTCGCCAGCTGTCTCGCCCCGCAAGATCACATTCAACTTTCGTCTCACACTCGACGGATTCACTGTTGCTGCGTCACTTGAGACTATTAGCAAGTATCAAAGGGGACGTACCTCTGTCCAACATCCCCTCGCATGACGGAGCCTGCATCCCCAGCCCTGCCGTGGGCCTCAAGGTCCAGACTCTCGCCAGCTCCCAGCGATGCCATTCGGCTGGATGTGGGCACCAGGATCGAGGTGCTTTGGCAAATAGACTCAGAAGAGGACAGTGATCCCAAGTTGAAGGTGCGAGAGGATGGTTTCTGAGGACACGCTCACCACTTGTCCCTTGGCTCAGACCAACACTGATTCGATTTGCTGTCCGTGCAGTGGTGGCCAGCCACGGTGGAGAGTGTAGGATCTGAGATACAACACGGCACGGCTGGACCTGTGCACACCCTCAGGCGCGGTTTGAAGGCTTTGATTGGTATAAGGGACGTGAATTCTGGGTTTTGCAACAGTTTGCTACTCAAATGAAAGATTGAAGCACGCTGCAAGCACCACCTGCTCCTCAACCCTCCAATGAACAGATATGAAGCCAGCAGCGAGGACGGATTCGATGATGAAGTACATTCATTTGCCTGGTTCCCTTCCGAACGTGAGTGACTGTCAAGGACCACATCAGCCGCTCTCAATGATTCGACCTCAGTGGCAGGATCACGTCCAGTCCTCCCGCAATCAACATCTTTCCATCCTGTCACCCCGACACCTGCTGCAGATGCGATGGTAAGTCTGGGATCTTGCGATCCGGAGTCAGGGTCGATGGACCTGATCCCAGAGCATCTGACGTGGCGGCGGGCAGGCGAGCTCTGGCAACCCGCTGATGAGGAGGGGAAGAGCACCGGCGAATTCTCAGGCAGCAAGGAGGGGCATTCGAGTACGTACGGACGTCTTGCTGCTCTCAATGAGGACAATGATGCGAGTGAAGGCGTGGTGAGGCTGCAGGAGATCGCCGCAGCCATAACCGAGCGCGAGCGCCTGTGCGGAAGCTCCGTGGACGCAGAGTGCGCAGATGCTTTGAGTGCCCTCCCAGCCTCCCAGCAGCGGGACTTTGCTGCAGGGTTCAGGCAGTTCACCGACGCAATCATGTAGGAGTTTGAGCGAGGAGTGGAATGATTGATGTGTGGGCATGACAAAGGGAAGAGATACGGATGGGAACTTGCAGCGGTGGCATGTCGTCCACCTGCTTGGCATATGCTGGTCTTCCTCGTATGCATCCATAGCGCACACCTTTCACCCAGGCAGGGATCCTCTCCCAGACAGCGCCCAGTTAACAATTCGTCCTCATCCTGACATCAACAGGGCTGGCTTCAGCGACCTCACCCAGACCAAGGGGGCTGATTATGTCATCACAGCGGCTGATGTTGAGCAGGTGAATGCGGCGGCCCGTCAGAAGCTAGCCAACGGTCTGATGAATTCTGACTGACCGAATCGCGCCTGGGAGGGATTGGGAAACCTCGGCGGCACTCCTCACACAGACCCATGCCACAACCGTGTATGCTGAACAGTGCCCCAACTTGTCATGTGTCATGATGTAATTCCTAGAATAACCAGAATCGGGCTCTTAAAAATTGCAAGGCATGCAACACTTGGTCAATTGATCCAAACTTCCTTGCCGCCGAAGCGCAACGTCTACGAACTCTCACTAGTACTAGTGAAATGAGGCTCGATCCACCATTTTCAGAAACCTATTAGTTAGTTTGTTTATATATAATATTATTCGAAGCCTTTATAAGATTGGCTTCGCATTTCAACGGTGCCATGTGTAGGTAGTCGATTGGAGGCTGCTCATGCACATGCACGTCCGGGATCCCGCACTCCGTGATGGAGAACACTCTGTATGGCAATGTCCGTGCAACATCCATCTCTAAGGAGGAGCTTGTGTCGGTCTTGCGACAGCTGTCCCTCGATGCTCGTGGTGAGGCAGTGTGTGCTGAAGGTGGTGGGTATGCAGCGTGCTGGCCTGTATCCCTTCACTGTCTGTAGTGCACTGGTCACTTTGTTCCGTCTAAGCTGCTCCCATTGAACAGGTCACAACGGTCCTCCAAGTACTATCTACCCCCTCATCTTGTGCAGAGCTTGATGTGGGGAGTTCAGTTCCCATGCTGGAGCACCCTCCCAGCGCCCTGCAGTTTTGCAGGGAGTATGTAGGCCCCAATCGCCCTGTGCTGGTCAGGGGTAAGGCTTGATGCTGGAGAATATGGGTGGCATGGGTGAAATGCTTTATGGAGCAGTGTGAACCCCCCAATCTCATTGATTTGCACTAGCCCTCAGACTTTGGTGCTCAAGCACCCCCCATTGACACGGCAATTGAGCTGCCACTCATGACTTTCCTGCAGGGGCCGTGAGTGAGTGGCCTGCCTTGGCGCTTTGGAATGAAGAGTACCTGATCAGAGCACTGGGTCCCACCCCACTGACCATGGCGACCACCCCCAATGGCCGGGCGGACGCCTTGGTCCCGGGACCAGATGGCAGCGCCCTGGATCCTGACACGGGCAACCCTGTGTTTGCCCTCCCGATGGAGAGCAAGGTGGACGTTGCGACCTTTTACCAGTGCTTGAGGAGGAGGGACGGCGCCTCGCCCGTGCCATACCTGCAGTACCAGAACTCCTCGCTCTCGGTCGAGGCGCCGCAGCTCCTGGTTGACGTCGCCCCGGAGCTGGGCTGGGCATCCGAAGCCTTTGGTGAGGCATGGGCCCGGCGGGGGTGGTGTGCTGCGTGCAATTCTGTCCTTGGAATGCACCCTGGGACCTTTGGGGCGTGCGTGAGGCAGCCGCCGAGCTTGGCACAACCTCCGTGTAGCGTGCCTCCGGCACGAACAATTCCGCAGTACTGCTGCCGGCGCCCATGGCTGACTATCCTCTCCCCCCATATCAAACACACCACTCCACCAGGCAACCAGCCGGAGGCCGTCAACCTCTGGGTGGGCGACGAGCGGTCTGTCACCTCGTGGCACCGCGATCCCTACGAGAACATGTACGTGGTGGTGAATGGGGCCAAGCGCTTCCACCTCCTGGCCCCCGCCGACGGCTGGCGCATGGCCGTGCGACGCGCCGAGGTGCACCGCTGGGAGGCGGCGGGCCCCGGGCCCCAGGCCGGCCTGGAGCTGCGACCCACCGGCGAGGCGACGGCGTGGTCCTCGGTTACCCCGCCGGGGACTGGGCGGGGAGAAGCAGGTATCAAAGCAGTGGTGTCGCGAGCAGCGGAGGCTCCCGGACCCGGCGCCCCTGGGGCACATTCTGATGCCCCTGGGCACTTCGCCGACCCCTTCCTGCCACCGCCGCTGGAGGTGGAGGTGGGGCCGGGGGAGACACTGTACCTGCCCGCCGGGTGGTGGCACGCGGTGGAGCAGTCCCCGGACACCATCGCGGTCAACTACTGGCACGACCGGCACTGGGGCGCGGGCGTGGCGGCGGCCACCGCCGTGGAAAGCCTGGCGGTGCTGGCGGGCCTGTCGGAGGCGTGATTGATGCTGGGAAGCCTGGGGCCTGGATGTATGCCTCCTGACCAGCAGCCTGTCATGTGAAGGTGCTGCCTGGAACATGCAGCACTGCCCAGCCACAAACCGCAGCAGGATGGTTCAGAGGGTCATAATGACCTGCCAGGGAAGCGATGGCGGGGGCTGCGAGGGACGCAGGCAAGGGTGCCACGCCCAGAGCAGGGCCGGCAGGGTCATTGGGCGTCTGGCGAGGGCCCATTCGCCGGCAAAGGGGTCGCTCCCGGGCGCCTATTGGGTCCCTGGATGGGTGGGCATGATCCAGTGTCCGGCCCCGGCCTACTTCCTCATGATCTTGAGGGCGGGGGCAGCCACATCCTCGAGCAGCTTGACGTTCTCCGGGATGACAAGATCGGAGAAGTGCAGCTTGTCCCCCACATTCAAGGCGCTGCAGGCGACAGGGACAGGGTGGCATGGGCGGTGGTCATGCTGCTTTGTGGTGGGAGTGTCGTTCGGCGCCACAGCAGCCTACTCAGTTGGTAGACCCGCCGACCCAACGACAACAGGTGCCGCCACACCCACCTGACATTCAGCTCAAAGCTTTCCGGGATGGAGTCGCCCCGCGCCAGCACTCGGACCTTCCTCGAGATATGGTTGATGCGCCCCCCCGCCTTCAGCCCCGGGCAGACCTCCTCCCCAAAGATCTGGGGAGAGGCAGGGGCAGCCTGAGGTCAATGGTAGCCGTCGCAATGCAGGGTGCGACATGGGTGGCAGGATAACACCTGCAGTGCTCCCCATCTGCTGCCTGATCCCAAGCAGCCCAGCCCAGCGAAAGAGGAGAGGCATTCCTCGCAGCAGGGCAATGAGGCAAGTCACATTCGCGCCGGCCCCACACACATGCTCCCACCTGGATGGGTACTGCGACCTTCACATGCCGATCCGGAGGACAGTGGATGAGGGTGACATTCTCCACCACATCCGTGTCGGCTGTAATGTGGACTTGCCGGCCCTGTTTGCGGCAGGGGGGGGTTGATTGGGATTCGGCAGATGGATGTGCAAGATGTAAACCTATCACGTGCTACTTGAGTATCTCGTTGCCCATGTGGCCCTCCCAAGCCACCCTCTCACCACTGCTGGGTAGTGTGTCATCTTCTTGCCATCGCCATTCATCACTGCCACGTCAAAGATGTGGCAGCCCCACCCCGTCCGGCCCAGACGCAGCAGCTGGTGGAAGAGGGTGGGGAGGAGAAGGAGCAAAACATGGGGCATACTGCTTCAACAAATCAAGCAACGCAGTCCAGATGCATGCTAGGCAATGCAATCAATCCAAATGGAACACCGCTAGAACGAATCAGCAACCAGAATTTATCATCGCCAGGCATTCGCTACCAATAAAAAGCACCTGTGTCTCGATGTCCTTGGCGGCAAATGATACCAGGAGCTCTTGCTCTTGTGGCAGGGAAAACACGACCCCGGGCACTCTTCCCCCCTGCAAAGACGATACATCGAGTGGTATATTGGCATTGTATGGAGAATGCCAAAAATGAAATGATACTGCGTTGCAGAGGCACACGAACTCCACCTTGCGGATGGTTTTGCTGATCTTCTTTCCAGAATCCTCACGCAGGAAAGCCTTCAGCTGCGTCAGACCTGAGCACAGAATGACACACGTAATGATCACCGGTAATGCTCCTATCTCTGAGGTTGAGCACCCCCGTATTGGGTGGATGCAAAAATGAAAATCACGCAGACACAATACTCACCCTTGGCTTCCACCGCGGTGCTGTATCGCACTGACTGGCACCCTGTACTCCCTGATATCGAGCATTCTGCTGCAGGAGATGAAATATATAGCGACCAGGCTCGTCCCAGCGCCCGACGAGCCATCAGTGCTGGCCCCGGCTCGCCACGCGGTGCTACCGTGACTCAACAAGGCAAGGGTGTCCCAGGGCAGATGGCACAGGTGCGCTAAGAATGGCTTACGCCTTGTATACCGAATGTTTTATGCTCCTGCTTTTTCTCTTCGATTAATCAGTCCGTGCTAATTCACCCCGCACGGCAATCACCTCGCGCCCAGTACCGGGTCCTCGCTGGCTTGCCGGTACCACAGGCCCTCGTCTGAAAGGGTTGTGTGCAGCATGCGCGGGATCACGACCCTGCACGAGCGAGGTCCGGCGGGACCCTACATATCATAAAAAAGCTACGCTTGACCAGCGTCGCGGGTTCGATCCACCTGAATCTCTGGTCACACCTGCGCGACCGGAGACCCACGAAGCGATCTCGACGGTGCAGTGCATGGCGCGGGCTCGTCGCCTCGAGCAGGGGGCGCGTCTGGTGCTCGCGCTGTCCCTCCTCCTCCTTCCCTCCTCGGTCATCGGCACATGCGAGGGAGGGGCATGCGCCGGGGATCACGCAGCTGCCACCGCAGCTGGCCTGCTTGGGAGCAGCGCCCAGTCAGGGCTGGGCGCATGCCAGCCGAAGAAGTACCCAACCTCCGGCTCCTTGATGCCCATCACGCTGGACACCCAAATTCTGGACCTTGTGTGGGTAAATTCCACTGAGGGGGGCCAGCCTCACGTGTATGCAGTCACGCAGGACAGCGGGGGCTTCCTGGGGGGTCCCCTGTGGCGGTCTGAGGAGCCTGGCAGGGCTGAGGCCTGGCGCGACATAACCCCAATGCTGACAGGCACGATGGGAGTGGGGTTGTGGTGAGGAGTTGCACCTGATTTGAAGTGGCTGGGCTGCGGGTGGAGTTTCAGGTCGCGGGGGATTATCCCTGGCATAGTCTTGGCTGGCATGGCAAACCTTGCGTAGACAGTCTTAGCACGACATCTCAATGTCTCAGCGTGCCATCCAACCTCTCCCCTCCCTCTCAAATAGACTTGGTGCCAGGCAAGGTGTCGCCGTACTTTGGCATCACAAATGTGCTGGTGTCGCCGGCACTCGGCCAGCACATTCTCCTGCAGGGCAGGGCCCACTTCCACTTCACCTCCAGGGACGGTGGCAAGACGTTCAAGGCCATCGGCACCCCTGGGAATACGACCGGATTCGACCAGGTATGGTGGTTGGGGGTGGGGGAAGGTGAGCCGTGAGGCGGGGTCGAGGCACCATCTTTCGCAGGGTTTGGAGCAACATGCGGCACATGGTCAGCCTACAGGCAGGCGAGGTTCGTGAGCACACTCATCTTGCCTCAGGGACAGACTTCGAACTCTTTATCTCTCGATTCCTGGCCCTCTCGTGCCGCAGGAGATCCTGTTCCACCCCAAGCAGCCTGAGTGGATTCTGGCCAAGACACGCCGCCCCAGCTGCTCCTGGTACATGCGGAGCTCCGCCTGCGGATACGATCTATACCTGACACAGGTGCAGTGGTCGTTTGGGGAGCAAGACATTCATCCTTAAGTTGACCCATTGGGGAGGGGGGTGGGAGGCATTGCATGGTAATGGAGGAGGTGCTTGCCCTCCCACCTGCCTCTATGCAAAGCCCTTTATGCCCAGTGATTTTAAAGGGCTAATCTCAAGCCATCCATCTGTTGCATGGCAGGACTTTGGAACATCCTGGCGTAACCTGACTGAGGCTGCAAGCGGGCGGGTGTCCAGCTTCCGTGACTTTGACTGGGGAGTCAGCATGCCAATGTGAGCCGGGGTTTTCCTTTTGGATGATGTGTTGCCTGCCGCTCTGCTGTGTGGGGCTATCTTTGACCTCGGTAGATGAGCCTGAGACCTGCAGCCTGGCCTTGTGCCCCATCGGGTGGTGGTACTCTGCGGTGCCTGCCAGGCCATCATGCCAGCAAGTCTGTGTATGGCTTAATTAACTTTCCAAGGGCTTCACCACTCGCCGTGGACGTTCACATCCTACCATCTCCCTGCTCACCTCTCCCCTGGCAGGTATGCGGGGAAGCCCACCCCCGACGAGGCCATCTTTGCCACCGTTTTTGCGGGGGATGCGGGCGCCAAGGGCCTCTACCCTGGTGAGTGCTGGCAAGAGCAGGGTGTTTGTAGATTTGACTCCGAGGAGCACGATCGTGGGTGCGCTCGCCCCCGCAGCTGAATGCTGGGATCGATGGCTTGCGCGGAAGGACTCGAAGCCTGCGGCAGCCTAGGACACTCATGTACGCCAACTGCATTCCCGGACACCCCGACGCCCCAGGCTGGGACAAGGACCTACACTACGTGGTCAGCCTCGACTTCTTTGTCAGCCCCGTGGCGCGCATGGTCCCCTGCGGCAACCTGTTCGAGGTGGTGGCCTCCAAGGTCTTCCTGGCCGTGCCCTCCGACTGCCCGCTGGGCGCCGACGGCAAGGCACGCAGCGTGCCGTCCCGCAGCGTGGCTGGGCGCACCGTCACGCTCTACGTCTCGGACTGGGACGGCGACGACTTCACTGAGGTCTGCCTGCCCAGCAACCTGGAGGACGATGGTGAGGGGCCCGGGGAACGGGGGGACTTGGGGTTGCGTGGGTGCGTGGGTGATGGGTTTGGCAAACGTAAGGGAACGGGTGCACACGTGCAGCGCTGGAACTCGTGCATGCCCCTGCGCTGCACAGCCGTTGGGTCGCAGTGCAGTGCTGTGCCGAGTCGCTGAACAAGCGTGGAACCCTGTCTCTGCTGCCTCCCCCCCTCCACATCCCCATCCCTCACCCAGCCTCTGTTCAATCGCCACCGTCATCCAGGGTACAACATGGTGGAGACCCACGACAGCGCGGCGGCCTTTGTGCTGGCGGACCACGCCGAGCCGGGGAGTCGGGGCCCCACCTCCGACTCGCCCACCTCCGACGCCTACGCGCCGGCCTACAACGCCTCCATGCACACCCTGTCCCTGCGCAACGTCTTCCGCCGCGACTTCCTCGCCGACTTCATGCGCGTGGAGGGCCTGCCGGTGAGCCTTATGGAGCACGGGGAGGGGAGCAGCAGAGGCGGTTGTTGTGTGCGACCCCGGGGTGTTGAGGGGCCGATTGATATGGGCCCCCAACCCTGCAAACACCACGCCCTCCCTCTCTCGCAGGGCATGTTCATCGCCAACCGCGTGGACCCGTTGACGGTGGCCACCGGCGCCGTGGCCGACTACGGCGCCTACCTCCAGACGGTGGCCACGCGCAACGGCGGCGCGGACTGGTCCCGCCTGCCCCTCCCCACCTCCTTCCGCTACGCGCAGTGCGACGCCTGCCCCGCCGGCGCGCTGCGCGACCGCTGCAGCCTGCATCTGCACGGGCCGACGTCGTGGGCGTCGCCGGCGGGGCCCCGCCCCAACCTGTACAGCTCCGCGGCGGCGCCGGGCCTGCTGCTGGCCACGGGCAACACCGGCCTGCACCTGGACACCAAGCCCTCGGCGGCGGCGGCCTGCACCTGGGCCTCGCGCGACGGCGGGCTGACCTGGCAGGACGTGGCGGACCGGCCCTACATCTACGAGATCGGCGCGGGGGGGGACGCGGTGGTGGCGGCGGGGCACGCCTCCGACGGCCCCACCGCCAAGGTGCGCTTCACCACCGACGCCGGCGCCTGCTGGCACGAGGTGGACCTGCCGGAGGCCATCCTGGTGACCAACATCCGCGTGGACCCGGCCTCCGCCGGCACCGTGTTCATGGTCCAGGGCAGCGCCTGCACGCGCACGACTCGGCACCCGGACTGCACCTTCCAGGGCGGCGTGTCGCCGCCGGGCAAGCTCTTCGTCATCGACCTGGCCCGGCTGCTGGGAGCGGACTTCCGCGCCTGCGCCGACGCCGACTACGAGGACTGGGCCGCGCCGGCGCCGGGCACGTGCCTGCTGGGCCGTCGGCTGACGCTGACGCGGCGCCGCGCCGACGCGGCCTGCTTCACGCCGCCGGGGCGGGCCGCCCCCGCGCCACGCGAGGAGCGCTGCGCCTGCACCGCCGCCGACGACACGGAGTGCGAGTACGGCTTCCGGCGCTCCTGGGGCGGCAACGCCTCCTGCGAGGCGCTGCCGGGGCTGGAGGCCGCCTCCTGCGAACGCTGGGGCAACGGCGTGTACGAGGCTTCGCACACCCACCTCCGCCTCGTGCACGGCGACGTGTGTGATGACCCGCGCGCCGTCATCCCGGACACGGACGGGAAGGGCGGCGCGGGGGGGGGGAGGGGCGGCGGCTGCGCCCGCCGCGGCGGGGGCGGGCGCTGGGGCTGGCTGCACACCCTCTTCTTCGTCCTGCTCATCACGGGTGAGAAGGAGTTTTCGGTGGAGGGCCTTGCTCGAGGAGAAGGGGGGTTGCTTGTTTGAAAGGTGCCGAATGAGGAGCTGAGAAGGGAAAGGTGAGCGCCGCTGTGGCGGGCAGCGGGCGGAGTGAACAGTGTCAGCCCCGGGTCGGAGAAGGGGGGGGAAGGGGTCGTATGCCATCGACCACCTGTGCCCCCAATCTTTCCCGTCGGCAAGGTGCTGCAATCGCTTCATCCATGGCCTTCCCCACCCCTCGACGCCCTGATCAATCTTTCCCCCCTTTCTCCCCCACCAGGCATTGTGGCGGTGGTGGGCGGTGTGGTCTGGACGCAGTGCCTACCGCCGGCGGCGCGCAATGAGTGGGCGGAGCGGGCCTCGCCCGCGCTGGGCGTCGCCGCCTCGGTCCTCTGGGCGGGGGTCGACGCCGTGATCGGCGCCTGGGACTGGGCGCGCTTCAAGTGGGCGGAGCTGACGCACCGCGGCGCGGCGCGGGAGGCCTACTTCGAGCCGCTGTCGGACCGGCTGGACGTGGACCCGGAGGACCACCGCTCGCCCCCCTTGTTCAATGGGCCGTGATGGCCGTGGTTTGGGCGGGCGGGTCTGGCATGGCCGCGGATGTGCTCCTGCAAGTTGACAGGGCGCACATGGGCATGCACTGTAATTATATGACAAGTCCTTGAGGATGTTTGGGGGTGCAGGGAAAGCAAAGGGACGCGAGGCTGAGGGCAGGCAACGGTGGCACCTCCCAGGCTTCCACCCTCCCGCTCCGCCCCGTTGATCGATCTCACCAGACCATGCGCATGCCCATCATCGTTTTCGAGTGCAGATTCCAGCCTGTGAACCTGTTTGTTCTTATAAATTCACCATCGCGGGTGTGTTGGAGGCCTGATGAGGGAAGAGACAGGCTAGCCAGGCCAGGATACCCCCCTGAGCCGTTCCGTGAGCTCGGCTAGCAGCCCCCCAGTCAGGACCAGAGTGCCGACGCCATGATCGGCACAGAGGCCGGGATGGCAGTGCTCCCCCCTGCCATCACCAAGAACATCGCCGATAAGGTGGCGAGGCTGGGTGGGGTGGGGTGGGGTGGCCACCTCGTGGTTCGGCGTCCTGCCACAGCCAGATTGCGTAGATCCAACCGTTTTGGACGATATCCAGCACACCTCACGCTTCCCTGCCCCACATTACGCGCTCTCAGTTCTATGATCGTCGTAAAGTCGCGGCGCTGGAGGTGGAGCAGATGGTCCGGGCCCAGACCGTGGCTGGGGACAGGGAGGGGATTGCTGACCTGCTGGACACGCTGGCCATCAACTATGCGCTCTCTGCCAAGGTGCGCATGATACTTTTAGGTTGGGGAGATGTGCGATGGTCGGCTTCCCCAGATCATGCAATTGTGGGAGAGGGTTGCAGGCAGCGTTCGTGGGCAGGACAATGCCACGTTTTCAGACGAAGTCTGAATTCAATCCCCACCACCCAGCTGCTGCCGGTGCGGCCGATGCTGTCCGTCCATTTCAGTGCCATGTGGTATCTTGTATGTCTGACATGCTCCATGCACACAGTCTTGCACTGAAAATCCACCTGCACTCCCCCCGCCCCCCGCAGGCCAATGCGCGCAAGGGCGGCCTGCTGTGCCTCGCCGCCTCGGCGGTGGGCATGGCCTCCGCCCCCGGCGCGCACGGCGAGGTGGTGGCGGAGGCCATGATGCCACGCCTGGTCCCGCCCATCCTCTCCTCCTTCACCGACCCCGACGCGCGTGTGCGGTATTACGCACTGGAGGCGCTGTACAACGTGGCCAAGTCCACGCGCGCCGCTTTCTTAGCCGCCTTCCCCGACGTGTTCGACGCGCTCTTTCGCGTCTGCGCCGACGCCGACGCGGGGGTGCAGAACGCGGCGGCCTTCCTGAACAACCTAGTCAAAGACATCGTGGCCGAGGCGGAGCAGTGGCGGCTTGAGCCCTTTGTGCCGCAGCTGGCGGCCTGCCTGGGGGTGGAAGACCCGCACAAGCGCCAGTTCCTGCTGGGGTGGGTGGGCCTGCTGGACAGCCTGCCTGGGCGCGACCTGGGGCGCCACCTCCCCGACCTCCTCCCCGGCCTGCTGGGCATGCTGGGCGATCCCACCCCCGAGATTGCGCACGCCGCCTCCCGCGTCTTTGCCGAGCTGGAGGCCGACGAGCTGGGCGGCGGCGGCGGCGGTCGCGGCGCCGCGCGGCGCAGGCCCGAGGTCGATGCGGGAGTGGCGGCCGTCATGGCCGCCGCGCTGACGCGGGCCTGCGCCGGCGAGCAGGCCGGCAGCGGCGGCGCCGGCCTGCTGCTGGGCGCGCCGCTGCGCGCCGCGTCGGCCTCCAGCGGCACCCTGGTTTCGCTCACCGCTCTGCGCTGGCTGCACGGCCTCCTGCTGCGAGAGCGCGCGTCGCTCGCCGCAGCTGCGGCGGCTGAGGACGGTACCGGCCCCAATGGCGCGGCCTCACCCGGGCGGCCGCCGGCGCAGCACCCCCTGCACCAGCAGTACCCGGTCATTCTGGAGGCGGTCCTGCTCAGCCTGGGCAGCGCCAACCCCGAGATCCTGGCGGTGGGCAGCGCAGTCGTGTATTGGTCTGGATAGGAATGGGGCCCTGGGTCGTCCTGAAATTGCTTCGTCTCTCGCCGTCGGGGTGGAGCCTCATGGAACAGTGCCTCTGGGCGTCCTCTGGGGCGCATCTTCTTTCACAGGTCCCATCCACGACTCCAAAACGCCCTTCCATCCCCCGCCACAGGCCGCCCGCGCGCTGAACCAGCTGCTGCTGGAGGCGGTGGGGCGGGAGACGCCGGCCGCTCCGACGCGCACGAGGAGGCGCGGCGCGTCGGTGGGCGGCGACGCTGCGCTGTCCTCCAGCGCCGGCAGCCCGGCTGGCGCGCCGCCGCCCCCCTCCCTGCCCTCCGCCGACGGCGACCCGGGGGCCCCAACCCCTCCGCCGGCCATCGACACCCCCGCCCTGCTCGCCTCCACGGTGGGCGCGCTGGAGTCCAGCTCCGAGGCGGTCAAGCTTGCGGCGCTGCAGTGGCTCCCCGCCCTCCTCCGCCGCTCCTTCCACGAGGTGTTTGGTGCGCTGCCCGCCCTCCTCCGCGCGCTGGTGGAGAGCCTGGGCGCCAGCTCGGCGGCCGTGGCGGTGCAGGCGCTGGCGGTGCTGGGCGACGTGGCACTGCGCCCAGGGCACAGCCACGACGTGCTGGCGGGCGTGGCCGACGCCTTCCGCGGGCCGGCGGGGGCCAAGCTGCTGCAGCGCCGCGGCGTGCTCATTGTGCAGACCCTGGCAGAGCGCCTGGGGGGCTTGCAGGTCCTGCTCAAGCTCAGCAGCCTGGCGGCTGAGGATCCGGACCCCGCTTTTGGCGCCGCGCTGGTGCAGGTTGTTGGTTTTGGGGGGGGTGAGGGGAGGGGGGGAGGAAATGCAAGTGCGAGAAAGGGAGGGGTGCAGCTTGGGAGGGACATGGCGGTGGGGGGTGAGAGGGGCCTGGAGGGAAAGGCGTGGACAGCGGGGCGAAAGCAGGGCATGGGGGAAAACATTTCTCAAGATGAAGAGATGAAAGCCTCAGACCCACGCTGACCCACCGCACTGCCTCTCACCCCGCCCACCACACCTACGCCCCACACAGGCGCTCAACCTGCTGCTCCTGGTCAACCCCAGCCTTGCGGGAGTGCGCGCGCTGCTGGCCCAGGCGCTGTATGACCCGGAGGCCGCCTCTGTCTTCTCCTCCCTGCTCCGCGCCTGGTCCCGCAGCTGCGCCGCCTGCCTGTCCCTGGCCTTCCTCGCCCAGGCAAGCGAGGAAGTGGTGCGGGGACCGGCGCGTGTAGGCATCCCATGCATAGCGTCGCCGCCCCCTCACCCCAAGCACTGCTGTCCCTCCCAACTCCCAACGCCCCCTTTGCCCTCTTTGCCCTCTTAAGACCCTGAACCCTCGCCCTGCCCTCACCCAACTCCCTCGTCAGGCCTACGGCCTGGCCTGCAGCATGCTGGAGGTCCTGGCCGCCCCCGCGGTGGCCCTGCGCCTGGAGACCATGGTGGAGGCCTGCCAGCTGGTGTCCCTGCTCGAGTCGCCGGCCTTTGCGGGGCTGCGCCTGCGCCTGCTGGCCCCTGCCCAGCACCCCGCCCTCCTCCACGCGGTGCACAGCCTACTCATGCTGCTGCCGCAGGGGGACGCCTTCCGCACCCTGGCCACCCGCCTGGCCGCGCTGCCGCCCGGCGGGCCAGAGGGCGGGCGCGAGGCGCCGGCTGCGCCGGGCGGCGGCACCTCCTTCCTCCAGCGCCGGGCGAGCGGCAAGGGCAAGGCGGCGGGCGTGGCGGAGGGGGGGGGCGGCGCGCCGTCCTCGGCCCTGAACGAGGACGCCCTGCTCGCGTTCTTCAGGGAGGTGCAGCAGGAGCTGGCGGCCGCGGCGCCCCAGCCCCTGCTCTCCCCGCGGGCCAGGGATGCTTGGTGACGTGGGCTTCGTCTCTGACTGAGGAGGACCGGCGATGACGTGGCGGGCCGCAGCGATGTAGAGGCACTGCTCCCGCACCCCGTCATTTACTCCCCAGCACACCATCGCCGTGCGCTTGCATCCTCCTCATAGTGCTTTGGGGGAAACGTCTTCTTTCTTGCCCACGCAGCACCACTTTGACCCCGGACCGGGCAGCCCACAGGTTGCGCTAGAGCACCCGACCAAACTGAACACATGCGTGCCATTCAACAATTGTTACTTCCACTTCTGCTAGCCTGGGCGAGGGATGCACATTAGCAGGTCTGAAGGCGCCGCGCTGGCAATGTACACTGAGGAATAGTGATGATGGTGGCGCCATGCCGCTCTGATGCCATCTCACGAACTCTGTACTCGAGCAGTTGACTGCTGCGCTGGGTGCGCTCCCTGTGTGCCTATGCTTCGGGCTCCTTGCTCTTGGGCTCCTTGCTCCTGGGCTTCACGACAGCCAAGCAGGACCTGAAGCCCTTGTCCAGAGCCTCTCGGTCCAGATTCTTGCCTATGAACACGGCGCGGCACACTCGGGGCTCATCTTCCTACATGAGGCACAGGGGGGTTATGTTTTGGTAGGGTGGGGCAGCGGTTAGCCAGACTGTACTCTTCGTGGGCCGCCCTTGCACTGTGACAGGTGGGTGGTTAGCGGATGGCGGCTGGCCTGCATCCTGGCAATCTGCGCACAGGTAACGATAGAGCCAAGACTGTACGATGAGCTCTCCACCCACCTCCCAAGCCTTGACGTTGCCCTCGGCCGAGCTGCCAAACTGCAAGATGCTGTGCACTCCGTGAAAGACAAGCCTGCGGCACAGGGGAATGGAGGGGTTTTATCCAATCTGTGGGGAATGCTAGATGGCCTTGATGGGCTTCTCCCCTCCAGACCGAAAACCAGGAAGGCTCGGCCTCCTCAGCATCCCCGTGCACATGACTCTGCATCGCCAAACCGCTGCCTCTGAACAGCCAACTCACTTCTCGTCGGTGCCGTGCATGGCGAGTATGCCCTTGCTCCTGAAGATGTCGGGGCCGTGCTCTGAAAGCAGCTTGCTCAGCCACTCCTGGAACTTTTCGGTGTCGAGCTCACCGTCCAGCACGATTCCCACCGAGGAGACGCGCGTGTCATGCACGTGGTCCTCCTCGTCAGACCCGCTGCCAGCGGCATCCCGGGCCTGCACAGCAGGGATTTGGGGGATTGGGGAGGGATGGGGGTAGTGCTAGGGTGTCAAGCTGTCACAAGCCCTTGCTTGACCTCGAGCAGTAAAACAGCAATCACCAGTACCTGCAGAACCCCTACCACCCCGACGCTTCCCGGCAAGACACCGGCACGGCTCGACAGCTCACCTCCAGCTCAGCGGTGAGAGTCTTCCCAAACTCAAAGGCACGGGCGTCCAAAATTTTCTCCACATCGACCTTTGCATACTCGCACTCGAGGATCTCCACCCCAGGGTTCACACCCTGGGATGGTGGGAGAAGGGTGGAATCAGCATGAGCAATGGTGAGACAAGTGTGAGGCTGACTCGTGCATGTGTGCTGCTCCAGTAGTCCTAAGACCTCCATCCATGAGGCAAAGCTCCATCCAGTCAATCTCCAGGAGCCCACTTGCCTAATCATGCAACCATCACCCACCCACCTTGATGCACGCCAGCACCTCCTTCTTCTCATCCTTGGTTGCCAGGTCGACCTTATTCAGGATGAGCTTGTCAGCAAAGGCAAGCTGCCGCTCTGCTTCATTCAGGCAGCCCACGGGCCGGTCGTCATTGATTGCCAGCATCACGTGCTTGCAGTCCACCATGGTGACAATGGCATCCACACGGAATGACTGCAGTGAGGAGGGAGGAGCTTGGTATGTTTGGCAATGACGAGGGAATGGCAGAATAGCGAAATGAGCTATGCACGTAAACGAGCTATTGTACTTGAGGAGATGTGAACCATCCTGGAAGGGGTGGTAATGGTTCCATATCCAGAGGGAGGAACAGATCTGTGGGAGGTATCAAGAGTATACCATTCGATCCCCTTCAGCAGGCGACTTCCAGGCCCATACGCTCAGCCCCAAGCGCACCTCCTTCATGCCATCGTCCATGAAGAAGGTGTGAGCGACGGGTGCTGGGTCGGCCAGGCCCGTGGTCTCTATGAAGATGGCATCAAACTTGTTCTTGCGCTTGCGGATCTTGTCCAGCACACGAACCAGATCCCCGCGGATGTTGCAGCAGATGCAGCCATTGTTCATCTCAAAGATCTCCTCAATGGTGTCGATGACGAGCGCATTGTCAATGTTCACCTCGCCGAACTCATTCTCGATGATGCAGATTTTCCTCCCATGATCACCTTTGGGGGAGTATTGGACGACAGAGTGTGTGAACAGCTCTGGGGATGTTGGGGATGGGACCGGCCCCGGAAGCACTCCGGGACTGGAGGAAGCGTCGAGGAGTCACGTGCACGAGGCCCCCACCGCGTCTTGCAGGCGACCCCCTGCCAGATTCCAACCTCTTTGTGCCCAACATAATCTGCAAGTACTCCGCTCACTCGTGAGGATGTGGTTAATCAGGGTGGTCTTCCCGGATCCCAGGAAGCCTGTGATAATGGTCACTGGGGTGCGCGTGTCCTGCATGATGACGTGCAGTTGCTCTTCGACTGGCTTTGTTTCCACAGTGAGATGTCTCGGAGCAAGTATTGCGCGATGAAAATTGCCTCCAAGAGTCAGGGTCCGCTCCGCCGACTTAGGAATCCCGGGGATTCAGAGCTGCAATCCCCAAAGGAAAGAAAGGAGAGCGCGCCATTCCACGACGGAACCACGAGATCGACATTGTTGCAAGCAGGCATGCACATGTCCCTTTCAGTGCCATGGCAAGGCCGTGTGCGGGATAGTTGATCGCGTATATGTCGTCAGGGCTGCATCGCAGCAAGTTCGCATCCCGTTGCGCTCCATGAATTGATCAAGCATGTGCGGACGCACCAACACCACGCTGCGTCGTGACGAGGTACACAAGGCGTATGTAGCTCATACCAAGCGTGGAGCGGCGTCAAGATGTGGTTCAAGACTTAATTACCCCCTTATTCCCCTTCCCTGACCCACAGATCGTGCGAGTGGCGGGCACCAGTCGATGGACCGGCGAGAATGCCTTCAATCCCAGTTACAATGCCGCCCCAGGTGCCACGCGCTCACCTGTGGTGCGCGTGGCACAGGGGATGGGGAGGGAGATATGCACCATGCGGTGAGCAGCTGGTGGTGTACTGAACTGGGTAATGTGCTTCATGTTGAACTGCTGCCTTTACCACAATTGTCTGGGCATGACATGTAATCACTGCATAGAGCTTGTCCTTGATGCCAGTCAAGCCCCACGCCCCAATCATCGACTATTTTTATGAGCTGCCCACCTTTACCGGCTTCACAGATGGGGCCTGGTCCCCTCCTACACCAAGCCTGACGAGCTGCCTGACTTCTGGCGCATGTTCAATGCCCGCAGCGAGACCCTGGCGGAGAAGCCCACCTTCCAGAGGCTCCTCTCCCGTCAGCGCTGCCTCGTCCCCGTGGCGGGCTTCTACGAGTGGAAGAAAGAGGTGCGGTCCGCAAAACAGCCCTACTACGTGCACTTTGAGGGGGGCAGGCCCATGGTCATGGCGGGGCTTTGGGACACCTGGCAGGCACAGGAGGGGCCCATGAGCACCTACACCATCCTGACCACAGGTGGGTGCGGTGTGGACCATGAGCGCACGAGTGACAGGCTTGGGTGGAGTGGAGATGTTTGGGCAAGGGTTGCAGAGCCACACCTGTGATCATGGTCTCCATCACTCCCCCACCAACACCTGGCAGACTCGGGTCCCAGGCTGGGGTGGCTGCACGACCGCATGCCAGTCATCCTCGACACCAAGGATTCTCAAGACCTCTGGTTGCTCGATGGGCCCGGCGACCCCAAAGCTGGGTGGGTGGGTGGATGGATGTGCGGGCTGGGGTCCTGTGGGAGGGTTCTTCGAAGTCATCTTGCAAGCTGAGAGCAGAGGAGGTATTTCGCCAAGCTACCCACCCATGCCGTGGCTCAGTCTCTCAGCCATGATACCACTCCTCCCCAATCTCCCTTGCAGGACGTGGAGCGCGGTCTGTGGTCCCTACATTGGGGAGGACCTGGTGTGGCACCCCGTGACGCCAGAAATGGGCAGCCCCAAGCTCCAGGGCCCCGAGTGCTGCGCCGAGCTGAAACGGCCCACCATCACCCAGTTCTTCGAGAAGAAGAGTGGAGCGAAAAGGAAGACTGACAGCACACCTGAGGATACTCCAGGAGGGAAGCTCGCACGCAACAGCGACGAGGTCGGTGAGACCAGGGGCTCCCAGCAGATCTCTCAGATGGGGTCACAACCTGCGACACCAGCTCCAGCCATCAAGAAGGAGTCTCCCAAACCCAGCGATGCTGTTGGGGCGGCCGAGGACGCAAAGGGGCAGGGCGACCGGCAAGATCCCATAGAGAAGGAGGAGGTGGTGGAGGAGCCAACCCCTAAATCCAGTCCTCAGCCTAAATCCAAGCCCAGTCCAGCAGGGAAGGGAGGGATGGGTGCTTTAAGCAGTCCGGATCCCTCTGAGAAGCAGGCATCCATCACACAGTTCTTTTCCAAGAAAAGCTGATGCGCAGAGCTTTTGCCTCCGTACAATTTCTGGTCGCTGACCAACAATTTTGAATGGACAGCTTACCCAGCGGTTGCCTTTGTTCGATCTGTATTTCGTTTGTGCTGACAAACTCAGAGCCTACGTAAGTGTCTGCCAGCTGTCGCTTGTTTAAGGCATGCACCCCTACCCTGTATTTTGTGGCCCCCTAACTTGACGCAGTTTGCGATCAGGGATGTAACAGCTGCTATGTTGCAGCAAATTATTGTATAGTAGCTTGGGGCAGGCTGGGGAAGACCAAGCCTGCAGTTATGTCAGCCTTGTAATTCCTGGGTCGGGAGGGTGTGAAGGATGAGTGAGGGGTTCTCCCTGCCTGTCAGAGGCTGACGGAGGTGAGAAGCATCCCTGCTCAACCTGATCAGTCTAGGCAGCATCGGGCAGCAACAAAGCCACTCACCCGAATCCGGGCCGCGCAGGCCTTGATGCCGGCATCCAGTATCCTCTTCTTCTCCAGGCGGAACTGCACGGCCAGCGCCATGGGCCCCGACATTCCTCCTTTCCTCAGAACCTCTGCATCCTCCTCAGCGGTTGTCGGGAAGTGGGACAGCGAGATGGCGCACAGCCCCGTCAGCGTCCGCAGCGCCTTGGCCTGCTCGTTTGTGGCGGGGAGGGGGCATGGCATGTGTTGAATCATGTTCCGGCATGCCACATCGCACTCAAGACACAATCCTGGAAGCAGTGAGGTCGATGAGTTTAAATTTGAGGACCAGACGCGTGCCATGGCGACCCTGCGCCAGCCACCAAAACTCATCATCAGGCCACAGCGGACCCCCGCCCACCTCGCTGACGAGGCTGAGGGGACTGGCCCAGTCTCCCAGCGCCCGCAGCGTGAGCCCCTCCAGCTCAGCAGGCTGCGCGCTCACAGCCCGCAGGCCCGCCAGCAGCCTCGCGTCGCAGGGTCCTTGGACGCCGGCCCTGGCCCGCCGCACAGCCACCGCGGCGCTCAACCCCGGGGCGCCCGCCAGGCCCAGCGCCTCCAGCGCGGCGCGCGCCGCGGGGGCCAGCCCCTCGAGGGCGGCCAGGCCCACCAGTGCCCGCGCCGCTTCGATCAGGCTCAGGTCGAACTGGAGCTGGACGTCGTCATGAGGGTTGCCGGGGACGATGAAACCTGGGCAGTTGAGGCGGGGGTGAGGGATACATGAAGGCCTCTGGCGTTGCAGCAGTTGGCTCATTGATGGGAACCCCCCCGCCAAAGTCCGGCCATGCTAGCAGTTGTCACATCCACCACCAACCGTCCACTGTACCATAGTCCAGGAAGAGGTCGTCATTGGAGAGGGGGCCGTAGTTCAGACTCACCTCCTCCCCCGCCCGCAGTTGGCGGGCAGCCACCAGGCAGGTGGCATCGGCCGATCCCTCCACCTTGGCGGTGGGGCCATCAAAGGTATGGTTTGCCAGGTCGATGAGGGGAAGCAGGACGGGGGCCGCGCCACGCTGGGCGCGAAATGCTCTGGAGGAGGCGGCCGCCCAGGCCCAGGCAAGGCCGCCCATGTCGATGCTGGCGTGCGCAAAGGCCGGCCGCGGTGCCGCCAGGTGCTCCCTGGCAAAGGACACCAGCCAGCGTGACCGCTTGTTTATCTGTGATGATTTGTGGAGCGTTCGGTTATCATTTGGTAATGAGTCCCTTGTTCCCCTCCAAATTTGGGCACCGAATACCCACAGCGTGCATGGGATGGGGGTCGCTGAGTGCAGTGCAGCAGGCCATACCCCCCCACAAGGCGTCTGCTCTGCCCCATCATGTCCTAGCTCCCTACCCCTACCCCACCCAATGGACCCCCTAAAACCTGCTGGACGATGGGGGGATATTGCAGGGCCTCTACGGCCTCCCCGGGGAAGAAGAGGGGCACGCCGGGGAAGGCGCTAGGCAGCGCGGCGATGTAGGGCCAGAAGGCGCCGGCGCCCTCCCCCACGGCGCGCTCTCGCAGGGCGTGCAGGCCGAGGCGGGCGCCCCAGAGCTCCGCCGGGACCCGGTCGAGGAGGGTCTGCAGGTCTGAGTCCGCCGCGCCGCCCGCCCCCAGCTGGGCGGCCAGGGGGAGGCGCACCAGGATCGTTCCCGGGGACACGGCGCTGCTGACCCCCAGGCCCAGCCCGGCGGTGGGACTGGTGCGGACGTGCAGCGCGCTGTGCACGCTGCCCCCCCGCAACACCACCCAGGAGGACAGCAGGGCGCCAGGGCTGGTGGACGGCGCAGGCATGCCCGGGTCCTCAGTCAGGTGCGCGTTGCCTGCTGGGAGATCCGTGAGTTGGGATCTGGGCCGGGTTGGAGTGCGTGATGCAGAGGGGGTGTTGTGCAACGATGGGTGTATGTCTGTGGAGCGCTCCTTGCAGCAGGCCCCTGTAGGGTAGACCTGAAGACGTGCCAGCCTACCGCTCACCTGAAATGCACCGTCTCGCGGGTCTCAGTGGCGATAAGGAAAGCGATGCGGTGCGTAAGCAAGACTGCGTCATGGGGTGGATCAGAGGGGTTCCAGATTGGAAGGTTGATATCCGCAGCAGGACCTTCCCCTCCTAGCTACTGAAGCAGCGCCGGCATGTACCTTCTACATATATTACGAATCTCTATACTCCACATTAGATTTGCAAGGACGTACTGTGTGCTCGTCAACGAAGTATTGTGTTGGCAGAGTTTGAGCGTGTACTCTCTGATCCCCGATCGATTGATGGGGCCGGGGGGTGCCTGACGTGGCGCCCAAACTTTCAGATCTCTCTCATAAAGCGAGAGTTGTTTCTTAAACCGTCTCCTTTCAGCGCTCTCCGATGCAAGGATAAAACGACGGCACTGCGGGCTCCGATCTTTGACACGAGCCTGTGTTTCGACCGACCGACCGCCTCCCCGGCCCATGTTGGGACGCAGCGCCTACTTGCTGGCGTACAATGCCACGCTCAGCGCAGGATGGTACGCTGATGGGCAGATGGATCTGTGTAGTGGCATGGCGGAGCCCCTAGTATCATTTGTGCTTTACTTGACATCTGAGTCCTGCTTGCCGACACCTGCAGGGCCTATGTCCTGTACTTGACCCTCTCCACTATTGCAAATGGGGGCAGCCTGATGGACGTCTGGCAGGTGCGCCCATGAAAGGACCGGTGTGCTCCTTTCGCGTTGATGGTTTTGCTTTCGATGCAGACAGATGGCATACAGGCTTGGCTAGGCCTGCATGAGCTGGCTTATGACCACAGCCTCACGACTCGAGACCGCACAAGATCGATGTTCAGAGGGGGCCCCTTGTGCAGAGAATCTAACCAACCCCATATTCCCAGGCAGTGGAGCTCCCCCTGGAGATCGTGCAGACGGCAGCCGTTGCCGAGGTCATCCACGCCGCCCTGGGTGTCGTGCGCTCCCCCGTCCTTGTCACAAGTGGGACGTGGCTTGCAAGCATGCACTTATGATGGGCTGGAATCAATATCTGAAAAGCAGGCTGCGTCTGGGGCTTGATGGTTTTGAGGGAGTATGAGGGACTCATTGCATGTATTGCAATCTTCCTTGCAGGCCTCCAATTGTTGAACACATAACATTCCTATCCAGCTCCAGCACCTGCCACACCTCCCATGCCGCAGGCATGCAGGTTGCCTCGCGCCTGTGGATCCTCTGGGGTATTGTGCACCTGGTCCCAGAGGCCGTCACAGCTCGCCAGGTGGCCGCGGTCTCCATTCCCGGGACAGGAGGGGCTGCCATCGGTTTGTCCCTGGCCACTCTCACATCAGTCTGGGCGCTGAGTGAGGTTCTGCGCTATGGTCACTTTGCAGCCAAGGTATGGGCTTTGTTGGGGCTGGGGTAAATGGTGATGACCGGCCACTCCATTTGCTCCTCTGCTACCCAAGAGGCGGCGAGCTCACGACAGCCGTCCTGGCCTTGTGCAAAATCATGCCTGATCAATCCTCCACCATACCCACACAGGAGGCTGGCATTCAGTCCAAGGCCCTGCTCTGGCTGCGATACACTGGCTTCATCGTGCTGTACCCATTGGGTAAGGACATGAATGTGTTGGACTGGCCTGGAGTCTAGGAAGACAATAATCATGACTTGGCTTGTCCGTGTTCTTCTTTCCTCAGAATGTTTTTGGCCAGGACAGGTCCCCTGTTTGAGGCGGTGGAAAGATGGTCCCAACCTTTCTTGAGGATGGCGCCAACAATGCTTATAGTGCCCTCACCTCAAAGTGTCCCCATCTGCTTACGTCGCAGGGGTTTCAAGCGAGCTGGCAATGGTGTACCTCGCCAGTGGACCCATCCGGAAACAGAGACTACTGTCTTTGAGCCTTCCCAATCGCCTCAATGTGGCCTTTGACTACTATGTGGTCTGCTGGATCATCGTGCTTGCATACGTGCCAGGTAGGTTCTTGATGTTGGAACTCAGTGGACTCGACAACTCCCGGCAAGAATATGCTAGCATCAATCCATGTTCCCTACTCCACACATCTGCAGCCTTTCCACAGCTGTATGGATACATGCTTGCGCAACGACGCAAGCTTCTGGGAGGGGCAAGGCGCAGCAAGCTTGGAAGGAAGCAGGCGTGAGGATTGTCGCGCCCGCGCGCTGCGAGCAACTCAGTTGCGAATGCCATTGAACTTGCCAATTGTGACTGCGACCCGCGGCACGCGCTTTTCCTCCTTCATGCCTCAACATCACAGTGCAGATCAGATCACTGGCTTCCAGATCGATCCGACATCAGTGCTAAACATAGGAACCCCTGTGCGCGCAGAAGCCTGAAAGGCGATTCATGACCGATTCGGAGCTTGGCTGATGAACTACGTCCAATAACATCAAGTTGAATTCTGGCATGAATTGAAACATTCTGCATCTGGATGGGTGACCCGTCCACGACCTCCCCAGTCGACGTCGACGAGGAGTTCGGGGGGGCGCTGGGCCTCACATCGCCGCTTAAATTAAATCCTGGCCTGCCCACCGTTCAAGTGGACCCTGACTTACTAAATGATGATCTATATGGCGACTTGGTGGATGAAAGAGGCACAGGAGGCACGCTCTTGGGACTACAGCTTGCCCAGGTTGGTGACTGGATTGATCTGATCAGACTATGGTGTCCAGAGGGATGTCCGCCCATGCGCCCGTTCGGACAGCCCGCTCAATGATAAAATTCATATTCTTCAATCAGGAGAGGGCGCGTATGAAACAGACAACTGATGAACTTGAGGCGCAAAAGGCAGAGAACAGCAGACTGGAGGAGGCCCTGTCAGCCGTGACACAGGAGCGGGACGCCTTACTCCACAACATCTCGGTCCTGTACAAGACAGCCAAGCTGGAGATTGCCAGGAAGGACGCAGAGATCAAGGAGCTCAGATCCAGGTTAGGGATGTGGTTCGTGTATGAAGGGTGCTCTATGGCGGCGGATACAATACCATTCTGCTTTTGTGAGGTGGGGCGATGGGCGTTCTCTAAAACCTATTCCTTTGCATGCCATTCGCCCACAGATCCACCTATTATGCTGCCACACTCCCTCTCAGGGCAACTCCCCACCCCTACAGCCGGGCTCAATCCCAGCCCCCAGCAAGGGAGCAACAGCATGATGCTTCTAGTAGTCAAGCGAATCTCGTGATGAGGGGTGCGGGTGCTGAAGCTGCCCGGGCACGGAATGAACCTTCGTCCCAGCAGTATAGTCGTGACTCAAGACCAGTGAGTGAGAGCAACACTGCTCGAGACTCTGATGCCCATCGTTATGAGCGGGGCCGAATGTGGTCGTCTGGTGCTCAGGATCCAGGCAGCAGAGGGAGGAGTGCAGGACAAGGTCGAGTCTCACGATGAAAACGCCGACATTGCTGTGCTGTACCAGTTTAGGTGCCTATATTTCCCACTGTACGGGTCGAAAGCTGTAGCATGATTTACCAATTGTGCTACAGAGGAGGTCAGGATCAGTGGGAACCTAGATCCTATGGACTGAGTGAGAACGGACCATAATCATGCATGCGAATCCCAGCACATCTCAGATGTGCAACCTCGGTGCCTGCAGGCCCTCCCCGCACACAACGGGGACTGCTCAAGCAAACTGAGGCTCAGGATTCAGCCAGGTGTTGAACACCAGCGTGCCCAGGATGTAGAGGGCGCCCGTGATCTGGAACACAAGGGTGAAGGACCCAGTCTTCTCCGCTACGATGCCAGCCACTGTGGAGCCGTGGAGGGGTGGGGAATGAGAGGGAGCGATGGAGAGGGTCCAGGTGACAACAGCACTCCCACGGGCCTGGCACACATGATGCCAAACCATTCCCCACCATTGACACCATCCAGAACAGTGTCTTGGCCCCTTTGTCCATCAGGAGCATCCCCCACTCCGCCTTTCCACAAAACCCCTCCCTTACCTTGGACACCGGCCACCCCCGCCAGGGTCCCAAAGGTGTTGCACAGGCCAAACAGCTTCCCCGCGGCTGCCGGCGCCACGTCCCCCACCGCCCCCACGAACCCGGCCTGCCCCAGGGAGGTGATGCCTAGCGCGGCGGTCATCGCCCCCACCGCCACCGGGATGCTCAGCCGGCTCCCACCCCCCGCCAGCACCGCCAGCGCGACCAGGGGTCCCAGGAAGGCCAGGCTCTGGATGCCGCAGCGCATGCGCCGCCGGGGCCAGCCGCGCGCCAAGAGCATCTCGGCCAGGCCGCCGGCCAGGGAGGCGCCGCCGGCCATGGCCGCCCATGGCAGCATGCTCAGCAGGCTGCTGGACCGGAGGTCCAGCCCTGTGAGGGTTGGGAGCGGGTGGGGCGTGGGGGAAGGGTTGGGTGGACGCTCTGTATTCCCTGTCACAATGTTGGGAGGGATAGGCCCCGCCACCCGGTCTTCCAGAATCCCGTGCTTCTTCCAGCAGAGTTTGGGCTGCCTTCTGCTGGGGACCACACATTACAAGAAAGTCATACATCCCCCGCCCCCTCTCCTCCACCTCTCCAGGCCCCCAGTCCCTCACACAACGTTCCTCTTTCCCCCAGCCACTCCCCCACCTAGCGTCCGGTAAAAGTAGGTGGGCATCCAGTTGAGGTAGATGAAGTAACCCCAGTGGTTGACCACGGTGGCAACGATGATGGCCCACACCGAGCTATTGCCCAGCAGGTCCGCCAAGCGGTGGCCGCGCACGGCTCCCGCCCCCCGCCGTGCGCGCTGCGCGCCCCCGCTCGCCCTCCCCGGCACGACGATGGCCCAGGCCGCCAGCAGGGGCAGCCCCGCCGCGCCAAAGGCGAGGAAGGGCGCGCGCCAGCCACCGCGCGCGATGAGCCAGGGCGACAGCACCAGGCCCAGCAGGTTTCCGGAGTGGAAGCCGGTATAGGCGGCGCCCAGCGCGGCGCTGGAGCGGGCGGGGCTGACGCGTTGGGCCACCAGGCTGATCATGGCAGGCATGGCCACCCCCTCCCCCAGGCCCACCAGGAAGCGGGTGAGGAGTACGGCGGGGAGGACAAGGCCCAGGGAGCGGGTGAGGGGGGTGACCGCCAGCAAGGGGAGGAGCAGGCTGGAGAGGGAGAACCAGGCGATGCCCCAGCCCAGCACCGTCTTGCCTGCGTATTGATGATGAAAGGGGGGGGGAAGGTTGGATCAGTGGGAGGTAAGCTTGTGGTGGTGGGTCACAAGCGAGACAACTGACGATGAGTGGGCCGGCCTGCACCATGCTGTGTGGGCATTTGGAAGGCAGGGTGTGACTGGTGAGGGCTGCGATACCAGACTCGAATGAACCCATTCGTCCATTCTCTGCCACTCAGCAAACACCTTTTGATTGGGCATTCAGGGGCCCACGTACCTCTCCCCTTGACACACCCTTCCCGAGAACACACTCCTACCTCCATACTTGTCTGCCGCCCAGCCCCCCAGCAACTGCGTGGCCATGTAGCCCCAGAGGAAGGCGGACTGCACCAGACCCTGGCGTGCAGGGGCCCACTGCAGCTCGGCGGCCAGCGGGACCATGGCCACGGAGAGGCAGATGCGGTCCATGTTGCAGACGGCCAGGGCCAGGGCCAGGGGGGCGGCGATCTTCCACAGGGAAACAGGGGCCAGGTCCGCGGACGGAAGGGGGGTGTGGTCCTGAGCGGGGCCTGGGTCTGTGCCGGGGTTCAGCGGCGGCGCCATCCCCGGCCCAGGCTCGGGCGGCGTCGCCATCACCATGCCGGGGTGACGGGGAGGCGCCTGCGAGGCCTGGAATGGACTGGCCCTGGCGGGGCAGGAGGGGGGTGGGTCTTTTGCAGGAATGCACCGGAACTCAGGATATGGGATCTGGGTGCGGATGGCCTGCTGGCGTAACGCCCTGCAGGGGCATGGCACCCTGGACTATTGCCCCCAACTCCCCAGGTCCTTTCTGTCGCATGTTCTCAGCCATCGGGCTCACCCGCGAGGCAGTGCACAGCGATGTGTCAAGCCAAGAGCTGATTTAAATCGTGTCGCACGCCCATGGGCGCTGCATGCTGATGCCGAGGCGTGCGGGCAGGGTCTCGCAGCCGAGGTGCCGACTGTTGGGGAGCAGAGGTGCATGCTGCCGAGCCTTGGCGGAGCAGTCCCGCACTGCATGCAAATACTAGCCCGTCATGCAGACCGATTGCAGTGCTACATTGATCGAATGCATGCACGAGGGTACCTGTCGCTGGCACCATAACCAAAACATAACGCAGCACGGCCCATCCGGTCTGCCAAGTCGACCGCCCCATGCTGCTGGGACCCGATCATACGGAGCATTACGACCCCCGCATCCAATTACCGCACTGATCCACAGGATACTCTGACGCTGATTTACCCATTTGGACTGTAATAAAGCTCAAGTCCACGGATTGCCCCTATCGCCTCTGCAACAGGCAAACTCGCAGTTCCCACAGCCTGGCATGCAGGCCGTGTCGCGCTCATGCGTGGCTCCAGGACACTATTTCGGGACACAAGCGGCACATGGGCCGCGATTAGCTAGGTTTTCGCTGGCTTCAAGGCCATGCAACCCGCGCCCAAGGACCATCGTCCATGCAGGCACGGTGGAGATCTGGGTGCATGCATCGTTCCAGCAACGAGGCTGGCGCTTGATGCTGAGATTGGTCAGGAATAAACGTATCGCCGTTCGACGCGTCCAACCTCAAGAGGGCTGCGGGAAGCCTTTTCTGAGGGGTCTGCTCGCCCTTCCCAACTCTGTTTTTTGCCTAGGGCGATGTCAGTTCACTTCACGCTCCTACGAGATGCTCACCCTCTGCGCTCCCACCTTGCCCCCACACAGAGCGCTTTGACGAGACGGCTGCATCTGTGCGGCGTCTGCTGGACCGCGACCGCAAGGACACGGCGCTGGAGGACCTCGATTTCCTGGGGTCCCTGGCCCAGGAGGAGGAAAGCGGGGAGGGCGGCGAAACACCCACCCCAGCACCCTCCAGCCAGCCCAGGCCGGAGCCCAACCCTGCAATGAGGGACAGCGCAGCCGCCCGCTCCTTCCTCTCGCCGTCCAGTTATTCCCCCGGGGACGATTTTCTGGGCCCCAGCTCAGACCAGGGCCGCCCTGAGCCATCCCTGGAGATGCGGCCCCTCGAGCCGCCCTCAACCAAGCCCTGGTGGCAGGGCATCACCAACATCCAGATCGTGAGTTGTGGGTAGGCCTGCCGGTGGGACCAGGGAAGGAGAGATGGCACCTCTGATTGTGTGCAGAGGAGCATGCTTGCGGTGGATGGTATGGAGTTGCCCCCTGCTGTGTGCATGCTCTGCACTTTGTATTTCACCAGAAAGGCCAAATTACTCTCCTCTGACGTGCTTTGAGCTCCAACCCCTCCATCCCCTTCCTCATCGGCATGAGCAGTTCATTGCCTTCAGCTTCACCACCATCATCGGCCTCATGTTTGCCACGTTCTGGGTGGCGGTCCGGTCTGGAGCCGTTCATTTCAACGATTGAGGGAGCTGCAGCACCTCCAGAGCCGTGTTACATGCTCCCAAGTACATTGTTGTACAGTGATGTGAGGCAGGGAAATTGACATGCGAGGGAGGCGGTGAAATTGGAGGGACGTAAGATTTAGCATCATGCTATAGAGGCACTCATTCTGGCAAAGTTTCGGTGATGTGGCCTCTGAATATGCATCAGCCTGGCTGATGAGAGCTCTCAAGGGAGCAAGCATGGAGTCATGTATTTGGGGCGGTGGTGGGAATGCATTAAATAGCTCTAGGATACGGGCCGGGGTTGCGAGGCGGCGTGTCACTCCATGTATCGAGCAGCCATGCACCCGCCAGCCCGGCTGCGATGGCAGCGGGTGGTCGATCTACCCGGTCTGGGTCTGGTCATCAAACATGCCGGCGTGCATGGGGACATACCCGGGGGGCAGCGCCTCAAAGTCTGGATCCCTGCCAAACCCCTTGGAGGCGATGTCGATGAGCATGGCTGCTGTCAGGCCCCAGACGCTGTACCACTCCCTGTCGGCTGCCTGGTAGTCGAAGAAGTGCAGCCTGGCAAGGGTGGTGGGAATGGGTGAGGATCAACAAGGGGACCATGGAGAGCGGGATCAACTCTGAGAGCCAGGGCCACTGCGACTGGCCACGTCAGCGCAGGCCTCAGCACCCTTGCTGCAACACCTACAACATCGTGATCGCCTCCGGTTGCCAGGCCTACGCAAGGCTGGTCCTGCACCCACGGTGGCCCTTGCCCATCCTCCCGCCTTTGTGCCCGACACAGTGTACTTTTGCCAAGGGTCCAGTCCTCCCTGCAGGCCCCAGGCCATAATGAAAAGCCCTTGCACAATGCGCACCTGTACGGCATCCCCGGGGCAAAGGTGGCTTCCCGGCTGGAGTGGAGATCGGAGGCCTCCAGGAAGGTGTGCAAGGGGGGGGCAAATACCGCCTGCACCTCGTCCGGGTTGGGGTGGAAGGCGTGGCGTGCGGGGATGGTGGCCAGCACCGGGGTCACAGACAGCAGGTGCTTGGAAAGGACGGGGCCCAGGCAACCCAGCACGCGGACCGAGTTGGGGTCCAGCCCCAGCTCCTCCTGCGCCTCCCGCACGGCGGTGGCCACGTCGTCGGCGTCGCCCTCCTCCCGCTTCCCCCCCGGGAAGCAGACCTCGCCGCCGTGGGACCTCAGCCCCGCTGCGCGCTGCGTCAGCACCACGTGCGTGCGCCGCGTGGCCGGGTCCTCGAACAGCGGGACCAGGACGGCGGCATGGCGCGCGCTCACCTGCGGCGCGGCGGCGGGTGTTGCGGGTACGTAGGTTGGGCGCGGACCAGCCAGGCAGCTGTTGGGGCCTTTGCAGGGCAGGCAAGGCCCAGCTCGAGGAGTTGGGCAGCCGCCTCTGGTACATGAACACCGCTGCACACAGGTGTGACTTGCTGACTTGCATGGCTAACCCAACGCAGCCCCACCCGGGCCCCGGAGCTACGACTCGCTCTGGAAATCAAACCCTTTAAATCATCGACTCACCGGCTGGCAGGCACCGGCATTGGCCACGGCTCTGCACAGGTTGGCGACAACCGCCTCGAACCCCAGCTCCTCCCGGCGGTCCTGCCGTGTTTGCACCACCATGTCCGTAGGCAGGACGGAGCGGGCAACCACGCCGGCCCCACGCGACCCAGAGAATGCAGAGCGACCCTTTGGCGTCTTCAATGTCCGGACGAGTGCTGAGGCTCGGTGCATGCAGGCAGGGACTCGCAAAGGACAGGGGGGAGGCCGACAGCAACCTCACCCTCGCAAGGAGCAATGGTGAGACCAATGCGTCGGCACCTGGGTGTCGGACCGAGACTTGAGCATGCTGAAGAACAGTCAGGGAATCCTCTGTGGAGGTGCAGGTCTGACCGATTGCGCGCCAGCTCCAACGAGTCGTCTGGCGTGGTGGGGAGGCCCACCTGCATGGTAATGCAAGGTGAAACAGAAGATCATTGCACATTCGTGGTGGTGATCCCTTGCTGCAGATGGGTTAAAATGACCGGATTAATTCCCTCCTTTATGTGCTTCCATTCCACAGCTTGTGCTTTACAAGGAAATCACAGTTGGAGGCTGCGTGGCCAAGGGGTCGCTTGGGAGGTCCTGCACTGAGCTGAATCAACGAGTGGGTTCCCAGACAGCAACTACCAAGTGCAGTGCTTGCTTACTGACCTCTTACATGTCAGAGTCATGCAGCCTGTCAAGGACACCGCCATGCCACATTGCGGCTCAAAGCGATGGAGCAGTTGCTGTCAAGGGTTTGTCAGATAGCTCACTCCTTCCCTTGTTCAAATGTCAGTAATGGATAGCCTCAGCACACCATGATAGAGTCTGCTGATCTTAGCCTTGCAATCATATCTTGTATTGGCCAAGCTGTCGAAGAGGAGTGCGCGGCTGAGAAGGGGGTCCTCAAGAGCAAATTACGTTGATTGATGTCTTCCAGGCCCTCGCCGGCCCCTACAAGCCCCGACCCCGCATCTCGAGCTAATGAGCCGACAAGACCCTGCTCCGGGAGCGACAGGTGGGTCTGGGGGTGGATGCAAGGATGACACCCATGCTTGCAAAGCTAGGGGAATGGTGGTCCGTCTTGCTGGCACTGTGGCAAACAGAGGCTGATCTTTGCTGGTCGTCCACTCAGTTTTCTGGGAACACTACATCACGATCCAAGGATTGTGTCCCATCTTCACACTTGAGCATGAGATCAACATGAGAGACGAAGAACACCTCAATGAGAGCATATACTCGAGACCCTAGGTTTTGCCTCCAATCCAAGGCAGCCCATCCACCCATCAAGCACACCCAAAGTCAGAACCGAAACTCCTCTCCCTTGCACACAGGGTGAGACGTTCAGACACCAAGCTAAGTGAGTAATTTCAAGCGAACATCTCCATACCCACCACGGGTGCCTCATGGCGGCAGCCTTTCCTCCTGGCTCTGCTTCGCTGCACAAGCACGGCAGACAGGTCTGGAGGAGATGTCACATATGATCTCACTATTTGGAGCACGCTCCAGATGGCCCAGAGAGACTGCGGCAGGCCCAGGCACAGAGTGGACATCTGGGCCTTGGAACAACTAGTTGAACCCTGCGTCCTCGCGGCCCGATGAGAGGAAGGGCAGGAAACAGCATCGTTTTGTGAGCCTCCCTCGCCTACTGAGGTAACTCCACACATGTTCCCCTCTGTCATGGAGATGCTTGTTACCCTTGATGCTAGCGGCACCATGAGAACCCAAATTTTACTGGAACTTACCACTTCTAGCCTGCTAGTAATCTACAGCTTGAAAAGGTCGTAGACGCTCTGGTGCAAGCTAGGAAAGGAAGTCCAGGCCTTGATTCTTCTGGCCCCTAAAGAGCATCAGCAGATGGACAAAGACGTGGCACATTGTGGCTGAAGCTGGAATAGTTGGCGGTGGCTTCCCCATTCAAGCTGACAGAGTGCCAACCGAGATTCCTGACTATGAATGCGCCTCAGTGGTCAATCCGTTTGCACTCAGTCATCTGGAGCCCATGTCACGTGGTACCCCTGACAAAGGTAGGTCCTGATGGGCTGCGACTCTGCAGCGAGCTTTTCATTTTTGGTTGGCAAGCCAAACAGCCCTGCACCTTCTCCATGACACTGATGGCCGCTACCGCCACATGCTGTGCCTTCCCCTCCTTGTGCTACAGACCAAGAGCCTGGTAGACAATTTCAGCTTCAGTGAAGTATAATACAATCAGTCAGGTACAGAGTCCAGCGTGGCAGACAGCAGATGGCATGGGAAGGCGAGGTTTGTATGTAGTACACCCGGCACCTCACGTTCGTTGGGGCATGGCCGGCACCGCCGGCAGCCCAAAGCTGTCGGTGCCCTCGGCCCCCGCAGCCTGGGCAGTGGGGGCTGCCGGGAGGTCCGGTTCCTGCAGGTAGGCGGGCACGCTGCCCCCAGCCTCGCTCTCCATTGTGAGCTCGTCCTCTAGCGCATCCAGCTCCCCCATGAGCTCTGACTCGTCGATGTCATCCGGGGTCGCGTAGTTGGCGCCCAGTGCCTCCGTGATCTCGTGTTGCATGTCCTGGCACGGTGGGGGAGTGGTGGACCTGAGCAGACACAGGAAGAGGGGTTCCCCCGGCACAGCATGCGACGGCGGGACTTGGATGTCGCATTACGAAGATGCATGGTGCCCCGTAGCCTCCCCGCCAGCGAGCATGCAATCCCCGGCGCCTCACCAGCAGGTCCTGCATGCTGTCCTGCATGGACTCTATGTTCTCGATGCGCAGATCCTTGTGCTTCATAGTCTGTTTCAGCTCCTTGCCGGCAGCCTGTCCGTGGAGGGGTTTGTGAGGAGGTTGGACGACTCTCCAGGGGAGCTGAATGCGCGACGTGTGTCCTTGAGGCCAGAGGTAAAAAGAAGATGTACCCAGCTTCTGGCCCACCCCACTCGCGGCGCCCCTCCAGGTCATCACTCCCCGCGCCACGACCCTGCGCACCGCCATGGCCTGCACTGTGTGCACCGAGTCCTGCATGGACTGGATGGCGAAGCTGGTCTGCTCTATGTTGTACTGCTGGTTGTACAGCTGGTCACGCTGGCTCTCGTACAGCTTCTTCTGCTTCAGCACGGTCAACGCCCGCCGCTTGGCCGCCTCCTGGGCGGGCCCGGGCCGTGTCCGCTTGATGTTCTCCCGGTGCTTCACCAGCTCCGCATCCAGCTTCCTGATCTTCTCATCGATGCTGTGGGTGCAGGGGTGGGGGGAAATGAGGCCGTCTTGCGCAAGCTGCATGCCTGCGGGGCCCAGGGACACCCGGGCCCAGCCACCGCAAGGTCGACATGATCTGTGCGTCGCAATGCCCCCCACTCCACACTCACGTGTCACCCCGCGTGTTCAGCTTGTCAGTGGCCTGATCCAGTGAGGGAGGCGGGACCTTCTCCTTGCGACCGAAGATGCGCTTCATGGTGCCGGGGCCCGGACCGGCAGGACTCCAGTCACCCTCGACGCGTTGAGAGGTGCTGGTGAGCAAGTGAAGGGGCTGAGTGCTATTCTTGAGAACCTTCGAATTTAGTATCAATGTTTGAGTGGCGTGGTGTCAGGCAAATGCTGTAACAGAAAGACGCAGGAGCATTCACCTTCCCAGGTGGTTCCGACCCTGAGCGCGGGGAATCCCCTACCAGCGTCTGTTCATATTCGTGAGACTCCCCCCTGACCTTCGTATGGCAGGGACTCCTACTTGCCAAGTAATCAGTTGACAATGCCACTTCAATGCTCGTTGTGGTACACTGACGCGGGTCTAACATACTGGGAAGCATGGATTGCCGACATGGACTCAGTTGGAGACAGTAACAGCTCTTTGTGTTCTATCTTCAGGAACACATTTGGCAGCGCACCCATACAGTGGCGCACACGCAGCTGTACCTGATGTGGCTCTATTCCCACATGTTTCAACTTGATCCAAAAGTCACTCAGACTCTCAGCAGCTAGACTTGATCGCATCTTTGGCCATGAAGATGCTTGCGCAACTCTAGGAATGGGACGAGAAAAGAGCCTGCTCTGATCGGATATTTCCATTCTCTGGATGGGACTGAGATGATTCTGAAGAAATGCTGCTCGACTTATTTGGAAGAGCAGCACCTGACACATGCTTTGAGGCTGCTGTGGCTGGGATGTGCTGTATTTGTCAGCATTGAGCATCTACGGGAAGACGGCCATAACCACGCGCTGCCTATCATGCGGTGGATTGTGTGGAAAACGTACAATGGACAGAAATCAATCCCATTGCGAGCCTAGCGTGCAGCCATGCGCTCCCTCTGTAGCCCCGCTCCAAGACAAAGCCAGCCAATGCCAGACCCCACATAGAGAGGGTATCTTCCTAATGACCTCGCCCATCATTTCCTCCAAATTAACTATAATGCCTTGATTGTGGAGTTGGCTTTGGATTGCAGCTGCTCGCGCTGGCACTTTTGTAGGCAGCACAGGGTATGCCAGCGCCGAACTTTGTGCCCTTGAGCAGGCCACAAGGGCACAAGACTACACCATGCAGCTGTTATACTTGGAACTGATACCATTCTTACCAACCAAGGCACAGTACAGCCTGCACCGACTCACTTTGCTTGAGCGGGGCACAGCGCCGCGACTGATCCTGCGAGCTGTGGGGAGTTGCGACTGTTCTGGACCTCGGTCTTTGAAAAATGTGTACGATGGGATCAAGTCATTCAAGTATGCTCTTCACATGAGCAATCGGGGGAGACACGGTGGCCCTAAAGGTGTTCATCTGATTCAAGTGTAGTGGGGGGGTGCTGTTTGTCCCGGGGCGCCCCCCGCTCCCCGACCCCGGAGAAGGGCCCCAGAGGACTCGGCCGCCCACAGAGGAATAACCGGGCGTGGCTCGGCCCTGCGCCTCCCTCTTTCAATATTTCACCTGGTGTTCAGTGCACGGACACGTAAAGAACTAGATACAATGGCCGAGGGAAAGACGGTGAGAGCTTGGCGTTGGTGGACCGGGCAGCATCAGAAACTCCTCTTCCCCGCCCGCCTTGAAACTCACTGTAACTCCCTCCTCTCCCCCCTCGCAGCATCTGTCTATCGTTATCGTGAGTGAAAGGGACTGCCATGTGTCGGGTCGTTGACCACGGTCGGCTCGGGCGCTGCTGCCCGCGTCGCGAACGTTCCCTGCAAACGCCGCGCAGCCGTCCCTTTTTCTGCCGCCGCCCCACCCCCTCGCTCCCCCCTTCAATCACACCGCAGTGCGGACATGTCGATTCCGGCAAGTCCACCACCACCGGGCGCCTGCTCTTCGAGCTTGGCGGTATCCCCGAGCGTGAGCTGGAGAAGCTGAAGGAGGAGGCCGCTGCCCTGGGCAAGTCTTCCTTCGCCTTCGCCTTCTACATGGACAGGCAGAAGGAGGAGCGCGAGCGCGGTGTGACCATCGCCTGCACCACCAAGGAGTTCTTCACGGAGAAGTGGCACTACACCATCATTGATGCCCCTGGTGAGTGTGGTGCTGGATCCTGGGGACAGAGCTTGTTGCAGGTGTGGGAGACTGTGAACCGGCAGGCTTGCTGATGCTTCAGGCGCAGTACCCTGGCTCAATTGCTTTGCCTGTTCTCTCGTTGGGATGCTTCCTCATGCCGTGAATGTTCACCCCTCCTCCCCCCCACCCCCTGCAGGCCACAGGGATTTCATCAAGAACATGATTTCCGGCGCTGCCCAGGCCGATGTGTGCCTGTTGATGGTCCCCGCCGATGGAAACTTCACCACCGCCATCCAGAAGGGCGACCACAAGGCCGGTGAGATCCAGGGCCAGACCCGCCAGCACGCTCGCCTGCTGAACCTGCTGGGTGTCAAGCAGCTGATCGTGGGTGTCAACAAGATGGACTCCGATGTCGCCAAGTACACTGTGAGTGGATGGTAGAGATTGTGTGTTTGTCAGGGGCCTGGCACCTCAATATTGACTCTGTAGGGTCCCAGCTGCCAGCGGTGTGTGGCGCCAAATGTGCCTGATCCTTTGGACTCGCGCTGACCCGCTAGTCACACACTTCTGTCAGCCCAGGCTCACCCCCCCTCCCAACACCCTTCCTTGCCACAGGAGGACCGCTACAAGGAGATTGCCAACGAGATGCGCCACATGCTCATCCGCGTGGGCTGGAAGCCCGACTTCGTCCAGAAGTCCGTCCCCATTGTCCCCATCTCCGGGTGGATGGGCGACAACTTGATCACCAAGTCCACCAACATGCCCTGGTGGACTGGCGTGGACGTGGACATCATCAAGCGCAAGGTGCATGTGCACACGCTGCTGGACGCCCTGAACGACATGGTGGACGTCCCCGAGCGCAAGGCCGATGCGCCCCTGCGCCTGCCCATCTCCGGCGCCTACAAGATCAAGGGCGTGGGCGATGTGCTGGCGGGCCGCGTGGAGCAGGGCATCGTGAAGCCCGGTGACGAGGTGGTGTTCATGCCCACCCACACCGCCGCCAACCCCTGCACCGGCAAGGTGTTCACCGTGGAGATGCACCACAAGCGCGTGGACAAGGCGGGCCCCGGCGACAACGTGGGCATGAACATCAAGGGCCTGGACAAGAACAACCTGCCCCGCACCGGCGACGTGATGGTGCTGAAGTCGGACTCCACCATGAAGCCCGTGAAGGACTTCACCGCCCAGATCCAGACCCTGGACATCCCCGGCGAGGTCAAGGCGGGGTACTCCCCCATCGGCTTCGTGCGGTGTGGCCGCTCCGCCTGCCGCATCACCAAGATCAACTGGAAGGTGGGCAAGGAGACCGGTGGCAAGAAGCTGGAGGAGCCCCACTCCCTGAAGGCCAACGAGATGGCCGAGGTCGTGTTCGAGCCCTGCCAGCCCCTGGTGGTGGACTCCTTCAAGAACTGCGAGGGCCTGTCCCGCATTGCGTTCCTGGATGGAAACACCGCCGTCATGCTCGGCAAGGTGGTGGCCACCAGTGCCAAGTAGACGGAGCGTGGTGCGGGAGGGAGTGTGCCGAGCGGGGAGTCCCGGTCCGTGCGAGTCCCGGTAGCTGACGCTGGCGAGCCGTACGCCCCGAGGGTCCCCCTCCCCTGCACCCTCTTCCCCTTCCCTCTGACGGCCGCGCCTGTTCTTGCATGTTCAGCGACGATGTAAAAGGAAAAGCTGCAGCGGGGGAGTCAGAGGGCAAGCATTGGATTGGACAGGGCAGGATGATGGTCAGGTGTTCCATTGACGCAATGAGATGAAATCCTGGCTCTTTTTTCCAATCTCCATGTCGAGAGGTTCGTGGACCTGTTCCACGGCCCCGTCCGATCATCTGTGCGGAAGCTCTGGTCGCAGGCGCCAGCCTGGCGGACGCCCTCACCCTCCACTCCGCTCCCAAACCCCCGACCCGCGCCTGCTTCCCCACAGTCTGCCATCAGCAACGCATTACATCAGGGTTCCGGGCAGATCGAAGCACTCACCATGCCCAGCGCCACCAGCACCAAGGTTACCACGGGAGGGTCCAACCAGAGCCCCGGCCCGAAATCCAGACCCCTGAAGGATACAGGGGACGAGGGCGGTGCCGCATGGGCCACTGGTGATTTTGGAAATTCTCTGGCCACCCCGCAGAAGTCGGAGGCCAAGGAGAGCAAGAGGTCCGCCCCGGACAGCACCAGCAAGGAGCCCGTGGAGGAGAACGAGGACATGCCGAAGGCGCAGGAGGCCGGCGAGGCCAAAGCACCGCGCATCAAGGGCCTGGAGACCTTTGACGGCAAGCTGGTGCCTTTTGCCGCAGGTGGGGCCCGAGGCACGATGGAGGGGGGGGGGCAAGAGTGCGAGCACGATCGCTGCCGAGCATGGGCCCTGGTTGCGTGACTGGACCGTCGCATGCAAGGGTCTGGGCTAGCACGTCGCGCACATCGACCATTCTTCGCCCCCCCCACGCCATCGCAGGGTTCGAGAACATGGTGCGCACGGCCCCAGTCTACAGGTCCCACCGTCTGCATGCCATCAACCCCACCGCCGCGGTCTCTGATGATGTCAGCTACCTCTACACCCTGGTAGGATGGGGAGCTTCTTTCCGAGTTTCCTCGGACGGGAGCCATAAGAGTGACTGCTCAAGTGTTTCGGCATGCATTGTGCAGAAATTCTCCACCACCTCAAAATCTGCAGCCTTCCCTCAAAAATGCCTGATCGCCTCCTGCCCCATGCTGCCCTGCAGGATTCTGGGCGCGTCACCCCCGCCTCTGCCGCTGCCGACCCCAACTACGATGCCGAGTTCATCCGCAACACCACCGCGGCCAGCAAGGGCGGTCTTTTCCAGAGCCTGTTGCAGCCCATCAAGTAGGTGCAGGCAGCCGGAGTACGACCCACCCACCCCTGAACACACTGCCTCCATGATACGGATGAAACGGACCGGGCTCGCTGTGTGGGTGGGCCTTGGGCCTCACCCCACGTTGCGTGCTGCCCTGGACATTGACCCATCCCCTCTTAAAAATGTATGGTCCATGCGCTTTTGCATGCTCCCTGACCATGTTAAGTTCTGGCTTCAGCATGAAGACGGGCTGCGCGGGCGGGCCAAGGGCCATGATCGTGGCTGTCCTGGCAGCAGGGCGATATGAAGGCGAGGCAGATCAGTGCTGCACCATGTCCAGCTCCGTCACGCGGATTCATGAACGCGAGACTGTCGACACTCCCTCACGACAGGAGAACATGACCAAAGAAAGCTGAAACGATACCGCACCTTGGTATGCATAAAGTTTGTTCATAGAATAGCCCAGCGGCTCGACAAATACGGTGGTACACCCCGTGCAGTGGGTGGATCACTCGTAAGCCTTCGGGCAGGATGGTGGAGCTGGATGCGTTTGAGGCACCTGATTTCGACCCTGTGACGTATGTGAACGACTACTGTCAGAAGAAGAGCCAGGATGCGCCCATGGATAGGTATGCTAGGGTCACTGGGTGGTGGGTCTGGAGAGGACGGCATCAAGGCTGGGAGCATGCACTCATCTGCAAGCTCATACTCACCCACCGTTTACCGATTCCCCCTTCAGGTACCTTACAGAGCTGGAGCTCAGACTGCAGCTCGTGAGCGAGGACATCGTCGGGAAATTGGCGGATGCCAGCTCCCGAGCCTCTCTCCGGGTGCCTTCTGCACTGAAGGAGCTGCTAAACATACAGGCACGTCGCCAGTCCAGCAGAGTTTAACACGCAGAAGGCATTCGCGTATCCTGACAGCCAAGCGCAGCCAGCCCGCCTTGCATGCATGCTCCTTCCTTGAACGCTTGTTTATGCCGAAATCCATGGGGAAGGGACAGCGGTGCACACACTCCTGCGTCCAGTGGAATAGCGCCACAACACAGCCTGCCCCTACCCCTGCGTGTACTTCTTGGCTGTGCACCCACGGAGCCCAGCTCCACCTTCCCTGCAGAGCGACCTGGCCTCCGCCCAGGCCAGCATGGCGGAGGTCCAGGAGCGGGTGAACGCCTCGGCCGTGGGGCCCGGCGCCCAGGCGGTGGACACCCTGCGCCAGCTGGAAAGGGTGAAGGGGCGCATGCAGACCGCGGCCGACACCCTGGAGGTGGGCGCCGGGGCGGGCGGGGAGGGTCATGCCAGGGAGACGGACTTGGCTTCCCATGGCCCCCAGCCTTGTACCATGGACGTGGCATGGCGGAGGTCCAGGAGCGGGTGAACGCCTCGGCCGTGGGGCCCGGCGCCCAGGCGGTGGACACCCTGCGCCAGCTGGAAAGGGTGAAGGGGCGCATGCAGACCGCGGCCGACACCCTGGAGGTGGGCGCCGGGGCGGGCGGGGAGGGTCATGCCAGGGAGACGGACTTGGCTTCCCATGGCCCCCAGCCTTGTACCATGGACGTGGCCCCTCCCGAGCCGCCCCTGCATGGTCACCTCCCCCCCTTTATCGTCACCCTCCCCCCCTTTATCGTCACC